TTTTAAATTTATTTTTATTAGTGACTTGTTTTCTTAATGTACAATTGCTCTTTGACATAAAGTTCTCTCTTACACACATGAGTGTCTCTGGATTTGTTTCTCTAGTCAGCCCAGACTAACACATGGGTCTACCAAATTGTTCAGGTGGTCCCTCACTGATACCATTTCACATGCTACATTGGGACTAAACTCTAAGAAACTAACACTTTCTAAGTTATGGGTAGGGTATCAACGTAGAATATCTCCAGTTATCTGACTCACAGTCGCTCACTGCTATTGGGTCCACTCTGACTCACAGCGACCCTACAAGACAGAGTAAAATGGCACCTTTGTGTTTCCAACGCTGTGACTCTCTGCAGGAACGGAAAACTTCACCTTTCCTCCCTGGAGCAGCGGGTAGATTTTGACCTTGTGATTAGCAGTCCAAGGAGTAACTCACACGTCACCAGGGCTCCTGGCATTGACAATTAAAGCAACTCCTCCCTGCTCCCTACTCGTCTAGCTGTGCAAGGCTGGACTTCCTTCGTATACTTTAGCAGAAGTACCAGAACACAACAGTGTGGCTGCAGAAGCAGACAGGCAAATCTAGCTGTCATCCAGATAAACTAAACATTTTGAAGAAATTTGCAAAAAAGGCAAAATAACTCTTCTAAGTTGTTTTCTTCATTTTGCAAAACACAGTTCTTTGTCATTAAAACATTCAGAGGTAAAAAAAAAAACAAAAAAAAACATTCAGAGGTAACGTGTTTATGGTTGTTATGTCTAAACGTACTGGTTTGCGGGTATTGTAAGGGCTTTTTTTCTTTTACCCAGTTTTGATGTCCAATGTGGTAAATATCAGAGCTATAACCCGCACAAACACAGCTCTTTTGACACAGCATGTCCAAGACTGAGGTTGGAGAATGTTGTTTCAGAGCAACATTACAGTGACCTTTTCACAGGCAAACAGGTAAATGGCATCGCACAGTGTCTCTGAAGTACAAAGGGCAAAGATGTCTTTTAATCACACGATGTATTTTTCCGTTAGGAAAAAAAATGTTTTTCCACACTGCAATAAGTGGCTATCAGAAAGGTACAAACTCTCCAGAAGCGGGAGGCACTGTTGTAATGAAACACAAAGGGAGAGGGAAAGGGGGGACAGGGGGAGAGGGGGAGAGCAAGAGCGAGCAAGTCAAGTGAGTACAAGCACTGCAGGTGCCAGTACCTCCAGGGCTTAGTCTCCCCATCTGTAAAACGAGACCTTAAAAGAGCGCCTGGTGGTGCAGTTGTGGCTCAGCTGCTGACCAGAAGGTCAGTGATAACCTTTCAGCCAGCCTTTAGGAGGAAGAGGTGGCATTCTGCTTCTGATAAGATTTACAGCCTGGGAAGCGCAATAGGGAAGTTCTACTTTGTTCCACAGGGTGGCTCTTAGTCAGAATCAACTGTCAACTCCATGGTTCTGAATTGGGGATTCCCCCATCGCGACGCCTGGCCTTCAGACTGATTCGCCTTTGTGGTATTCTGAAAAGTGTCCCATGGTCCATAAGAGGCTTTCCAAATCTCGGATTCCCCAATTCAGCTCCTGAGCCAGTGTCCGAGTGCCTTGCTCACTCTGCCTCTTGCTGGCTATGTGACTCGAGGCAAGTTATTTAACTCCTCGGAACCTCAGTTTCCTCTTCTCTAATATGGACACAATTCCACTGGCCACAAACGGCTGTTAGGAAGCTTGAAAGGTGCTGCCTGACAACGCTTAAAGCGTTCCGGACAATAAAATGGGTTGTGTTAGTGTGGGCTACTATCACTAACGCCAAAGAAGAGAGAGAATCCTGGCCCACCCTCATATCAATTCTCTTCCCAACAATGGGCAACGAGACTCCTAAGCCCCATCCCAACTCCCAGGACCCACAATTTCACCTGCCAGGTCGTTTGTAACCACTCACACTGCAAACACAAAAAACACTCCTCAAAGCTCTATTCTCCTACTTCCCCGTAAAACCCTCCACGGAGGCCGCGGCCGGTACCGGGTCGGTACCTACACTACCGCAGTTTTGCACAGGACCATACCACGACCACTCCCCCCAGCCGCTTTTTCCACAAAGCTTCCCTTCCGCAGTTGTCATCATAGGCCACCCGGGTCCGGGAATTCTAAGACCTAGGATTCTTCCCAGGGGAGTTTCGAGTCGGGAGATGAAAAAATAGCTACCCAATCTCCTGGAAGAGCCCACGGACACTCACCGTCCATCCCTAGAGGTGGCGGTTCCGGGTACTCGAACCGGAAGTAGCCCCTATACTGTTTGCAGTTCCCCTGGTTACTGCAAGGTTCCGGACCAATGGTAGTGGGAGCCCGCAGACTGAGCCCGCCTCCAAGGGGGAGTGACGTCAGGCGGACGCGTTGGAGCTCCGCCTCAGAGCTTCCGGTCGGGCCCGCCTCCCTGCGATCCTCGTACGCAGGCGCCGTGGGCCCGGGCCCTTGGCAGCGTGGTGCGCAGGCGCGGTGGGGCTGCCGCCGACAGAAGTAGCAATGGACGCGCTGGAGTCGTTGTTGGACGAGGTGGCCTTGGAAGGGCTCGATGGACTCAGTCTGCCCGCGCTCTGGAGCCGCCTGGAGACGCGAGCGCCGCCCTTCCCGCTGCCTTTGGAGCCCTACACGCAGGAGTTCCTGTGGCGGGCCCTTGCCACGCACCCGGGCATCAGCTTTTATGAGGAGCCACGGGAGCGACCCGACCTCCAGCTCCAGGACCGGTTAGCTGCCTGGCCCAGCGCGGTGGGGGACGGGCTCAGAGCCCGGAGCTTGGAGGGGACCCGGTTCTGATCGGAGGAGGAAGGAGCCCGGGGAGGACCGGAATCTGATGGGCAGCGCGGTGATAGGCAGAGATGGGGTGCATGGGGCCTGGCAGGGCCCAGGCGTCGGATGGGGGCGGGGGCCCGTCTGGTGATGCCCCATTATGGCCCTGTGGGTTTGCGGGTGTGGTGAGCAGGGCTCGGGGCGGGAAGTTACTCTTCTGACTTCCAAGAGCATTTCCAGCAAGATGGGGGATAGGCTTAGAGCTCCGATCCGGTCTGCCGACCTTTGTGGAGCCTCCATTCAGGGCCAGTTTATTGAGTCCGAAACTTCCCTGAGATCGGCCTAACAGCAGACATAGCAATACTAATAAACCAAACCAAACTCACTGCCGCCGAGTGGTTCCAACTCCTAGCGGTCCTATAAAACAACCTAGAATTCCCCTCCAGAGTTTCCAAAACTAACAAAAGTAGAAAGCCCCATCGTTCTCCCGCGAGCGGCTTGTGGTTTCAAACTGCTGATCTTGCAGCTAATCAGCTCGATGTGTAACCGCTACGCCAGCAAACCAAAACTCTCCAGGCACACTGCCATTCAATTGGTGGCGACTCATGACGACTACCCTGTAGCCCGGCGTCAAACTGCCCCTGGAATTTTTCCAAGACTGGCTACACACCAGCACAAAGCCTCTTCTGTCTCCCGCAGAGCGGCATGGTATCAAACTACCAACCTTGCAGATCGAGGCCGAATTTGTAACCACTATGCCATCACGGCACTTGATAGCACCCAAGTATTCCTGGATTCATTTAACCTAAAAATATATGCAAAAAGAAAGAAAGAAAGAAACACGGGGGTGTGTGTGTGTAATATTAGTCTCACATTTTCCTAAAGAGAAAATGAAGGCTCCGAGGGATTGAAGTAACTTGCTTTTAAAGACATCAGCTTGCAAGGGTAAACTCGGATCAGTCCAAATTGGGCCAGAGAGGTCTTTTAATTCAAAGAGGTTTATTCTTTTTCACAAGGATAATTGGAATCGATTGAAGGGAGTGGCCGGTAGAGAAGTAATGGCTTGAAAGTGCTGTGCCTAAGGGCGGAGAGTGAAATTAGATCTTAGCAAGGAGGGGCTGGAGAAGTGGTCTGGTCTAATACAGTGGGCGTGGAATGGTGAGAAACTGGTGGAATTGAGACCTTACCTAGGAGTCCACTCGTATGAGAACTTCACCCCCTTGACTTTTGGTGTCTCCATTCTCCTCCTCTGCCTGAGGGGTAGCCCCATGCCCGCGCTGCCTCCATCCCTCATCTTTGGGGATACGTAATCCAATTCTCTTGGTACCTTGAAACTTCCAGCCTCTATGTTACCGAATTCTAAAACCACTACCACATTTTAGGTGCTTGTTAGAGTTGCTCCTCAAGTATGGGTACCAAATTCGGTCTTAGCTCTCTCGTTATTTTATTTTACTTTTTTCCAATCCAGTTATGTTAGCAGTATTGTAGCAGAAATACTACAAATGGGTGCCTTGAACAAAGGGAGTTTTTCACAGTTTGGGAGGCGAGACGTCTGAAGTCAAGATACCAGCTTATAGAGGAAAGCCTTCTCTCTGCACTGGCTCTAGGGGGAAGGACTTTTTCTCTGCAGCTCTGTTTCCGGGTTCTTTAGAGATCCGCGGGTGGCATGGAATCTTTGTTCCCCTATCGCTACTTGCTTGCTTTGTTGTTTGCACAATCTGCTCCTCTTATCACATTTTTAAAAAAAAAAACATTTTACTGGTGGCTCGTACAGCTCTTATCATAATCCATACTTCCATCCGTTGTGTCAAACAAATTTGTATATTTGTTGGCATCATATTGGGGGCTCATACAACTCTTACCACAATCCATACATACATCAATTGTGTTAAAGCACATTTGTACATTTGTTACCCTCATCATTCTCAAAACATTTGCTCTCCACCTAAGCCCCTGGCATTAGTTCCTCATTTTCCCCCTCCCTTCCAGCTCCCCTCTCACTCATGAACCCTTGATAATTTATAAATTATTATTTTGTCATATCTTACATGGTCCAACGTCTCCCTTCACTCACTTTTCTGTTGTCCGTCCCCCAGGGAGGAGGTTATATGTAGATCCCTGTAATCGTTTCCCCCTTTCTACCCCACCCTCCCTTCACTCGCCACTCACCACTGTTTCTGAAGGGATCATCCATCCTGGATTCCCTGTGTTTCCAGTTCCTATCTGTACCAGTGTGCATGCTTTGGTCTAGCCGGATTTGTAAGGTAGAATTGGGATCATGATAGTGGGTGGGGAGGAAGCATTTAGGAACTAGAGGAGAGTTGCATGTTTCATCGTTGCTACATCGCACCCTGACTGGCTCGTCTCCTCTCTTCGACCCTTCTGTAAGCGGATGTCCAGTTGCCTACAGATGGGCTTTGGGTCCCCACTCCGCACTCCCCCCATCATTCACAATGATAAGATTTTTTGTTCTGATGATGCCTTATACCTAATCCCTTCGACACCTCGTGATCACACAGGCTGGTGTGATTCCATGTGGTCTTTTTTGCTTCTGAGCTAGATGGCCACTTGTTTACCTTCAAGCCTTTAAGATCCCAGATGCTATATCTTTTGATAGCAGGGCACCATCAGCTTTCTTCGCCACATTTGCTTATTCACCCATTTGTCTTCAGCAATCGTATCATGGAGGTGAGCACACATTGATATGATGTTTTTGTTCTTTGATGCCTGATAACTGATCTGTTGGACACCTCATGATCACACATGATGGTGTGCTTCTTCCATATGGGCTTTGTTGCTTCTGAGCTAGATGGCCGCTTGCTTACCTTCAAGTCTTTAAGACCCTAGATGCTATGTCTTTTGATAGCCGGGCTCCATCAACTTTCTTCACCACATTTGCTTATGCACCCACTTGGTCTTCAGCGATTGTGTCAGGAAGGCAAGCATCATGGAATGCCAGTTTAATAGAACAAAGTATTCTTGCATTGAGGGAGTTCTTGAGTGGAGGCCCAATGTCCATCTGCTACCTTAATATTAAAACTATAAATATATGCACATAGATCTATTTCCCCATCCTCATATACAAATATATTTACATATGTACATGCCTGTATTTAGACCTCTATAAATGTCCTTTGCCTCCTAGCTCTTTCCTCTATTTCCTTTTAGTTTCCTCTTGTCCCACTATCAGCCATCATCATTTTCAAAACATTTTCTTTCTACTTAAGCCTGTGGTATCAGCTTCTCATGTTTTCCCTCCCTCATGAACCCTTGATAATTTATAAATTATTATTAATTTTTCATGTCTTACACTGTCTGATGTCTCCCTTCACCCACTTTTCTGTTTCCATCCGCCTGAGAGGGGGTTATGCATAGATCATTGTGATCCATTCTTCCTGTCTCCCCTCACCTTCCCCTTACCATCCTGGTATGACTACTCTCAATATTGGTCCTGAGGGGCTTATCTGCCCTGTATTCCCTGTGTTTCCAGCTTTTGTTTGTACCCCTGTACTTGCTGGTTGAGTTAGTTAATTGTGCCAGCCTGGCCAATAATCACATGTGGTGCTGGTTGAAAGGCGGAGGGATAAATGGGTGGTGAAGCCTCGCCTTTCTAGTTCTTGGGTCTCTTGTTTTGTGATGGTTGCATCG